GATCACACATTTTTCCAAACTTGTGTTCACACATATTACGTATAAACATTGACACTCATAGCCCATTATAGAATAAACACGCTAAATGATATGCCAAATTCTTGGGCTATGTAAAGGTTATAATTAATATTAGAAATTAAATAATTTGACTAGTTATGTTGCTATCTTCTATTAAATTTAATAACCAATTCCAAATTAAATTTTAAAAATATCTAAATTAAAAATTAATTATTTATTAGGTTGTTTGGAATGTAAGTTCATTTTTTTTATCACTAGACGGATTAGTCGTATTTTTCCCGCTGTTTTCATTCTAAACTGTATTATCATTATATATTTTGACAGCATTTTAAGGCTTATTTGTAAAAAATTTTGTTTGATTCTGTGAAATTGTTCATTTTTTGTATCCCATCAAATATGGAAGATCGAAAGCATCATTTTCGGCATATTTTGCTTTTTTATTACCAAAAAATCAAAATGCTGTTCAAGCGAGAAAAAAATTGTGTGACGTGTATGGAAAAGATGTATTAACAGAACAACAGTGCCAAAACTGGATTACAAAATTTCGTTCTAACAATTTCAATATTGAAGATGCACCACGTTCTGGATGGCCAGTTGAAGCCAGTGAAAACAAAATAAAGGTACTGATTGAAGCAAACTGCCAAATAACAACACATGAAATCACTAAGAGATTAAATTTGTCAAATTGAACCGTTTATGATTACTTGAAACAAATTGATTTCGTTTCAATATATGGGTTCCACGTGTTCTTAGATGCTCTCTTTGGTGGGATTTTAAGGAAATTTTTTTTTTGAGCTTTAACCAGACAATTTAATGATTGATTCGAAAGTGTACTTCCATTGAGTAAACAAATTGAGTAATATCATCAAACAGAAAATGCGACCAGAATTGATCAACAAAACAGGTGTAGTGTTTTACCACGATATTATCAAATTTCACACAAGTTTGGTAACTCGTCAGAAAATCTTATAACTTAGATGGGAAATGCTATCACACCAACCATATTTGCCAGATCAAGCACACTCAGATTATTACTTGTTCCAGTCTATACAAATTTTTTAAACTGTAAGTAGAGGATTTGATCCCGGGATCTCGAAAATCGGGATCCCGACCACTTTTCAGTCCCAAAATTTTCGGGATTAAGTTTTCCTAATTCCGAGATTTTCGGGATTGACATCATTTTAAAAAAAGTTGCAAAATAGACTGCATGAAGCGAAACGTTCAATGCCAGTGCTTTTAACAGAATTGCTTGCCTATCATTTTAATATAAAATACAAGAAATTTTATTCCAAGCAAGCAGCAGAAATTAACCTAGCGGGCTTGCGATGCTTGCTTGGANTTTATTCACTATATTGTCCTAGATAACTGTTCTGGACACATGCACTTGCTAGACTTTCTACAATTCAAATCTCACCCACATCATTATGCAAATCACTTTCCATTACTTTATAACATTCACTTAAAAGTGTTTAACATGTACCTTAAGCCTGTTATCGGTGTGGGTGATATGATGAATAAATATCGCAAACATTTTCAAACATTAATAGTTCTTCCTCAGGCAATATAAAAAAAGAAATGATGGAACACAGAACAAAATAGAACATAAATATTTAAATAGAATCGAATCCATGTCTCGTGTAAAATTGTTGGATTGGACCATGTGCATAAATTACAAAGAAGAACTGAATTTGTTGCATGGCAGGCCCTCATGGACACTATCTTTAATTGCTGACTACCTGCATCGAATGCCCATGTCCAATCCAACGATTTTACATGCGACATGGATTTGATTCTATTTAAATATTTGTTCTATTTTGTTTTGCGTTCTGTCGTTTTTTTTTTTTTTATATTGCCTGACGAAGAACTGTTAATGTTCGAAAATGTTTGCGATATTTATCTGTCATATCACCCACACCGGTAACAGGCTTAAGGTACATGTTAAACACTTGTAAGTGAATGTTATAAAGTAATGGATTTCATCCAGTGTTCTTTGAATGTAGAAGTTTAAAAGTGTTTACTTTGAATTTTTTGTAGACCTGTATATGTTACTGTGATAAAACAAAAAGCTTAAAAATGCTTGATTATCTGAAGATAACAATAACTGTAACTGAATTCTGATTATAATAAATGAGGTTTTTATAGTTTATTTTAACTTATACATTTTGGGATTTGATAACTCATTAAACAATTGATAATAATAATTGTGATTATTACAGTAAGTAAATTCTATAATAATTATATTACGTGTGTGTGTGTACAGTATGTATATATATATACTATTACTTATTTATGTTGTTAATAAGTAATATGTATTTGATAAATTAATTTTTTAATATCTTTAATATGCAGCAATTAAAAATCATTGTTCTAATGAAGTGTTATTCTATTTTATAGATGCTGAAGAGACGACCACCTAAAGTACCTTATGGAAGGAAAGTTCAGAATTCTCCATATTTACCAAGAATGAATCATCAAAATTATAATTACAAATTTTATTCTAATTTTCCTCAGTTTGAATATAATTATCACAATAAAAATACTTCATTGGTAAAAAGATTTGATCATCAGCCTTCTGTCCCAGAAAAAAAAATGAACTTACTTTCCGAACAACCTAATATAATTATTAAATTTAATACGAGATAGCAGAATAACTACCTACCTCTAGGCAAACTAATTAATTTCTAACATTTATTTATAGCCTTTACATAGCCCAAGAATTTGGCATATCATTTGGCATGTTTATCTGACATATTATCTGTGATTTTTTTTTCCCCCTGCAAATTGAATTCACATTCCAGGTTGGTTCATGCTATGCTAGAAGAAAAGATGATGATGATTCATGCTCCTTAACAATGTATATTGTATAATTTTCTTTGAATAAATGTTATACATAAAATATTTGAGTTTTTTTCAGAATGGAATGGACCACAAAATTGTATTTTATGTTAAATGGAAAAAATTGTTTCGCTTAATGAGTGTTTCACATTATGAGTACATTATTATTATTATTAAGATTCTGGAACTAATTATGCTTGTTCCACTGTATTAGACTTCAATTTTTTTTTGTAGAAATTTTTAGCTTCCTTGAAACTCAAGATCCTGATCTATGCTTACATAGCTTATTGTAAATTCAACCTTGGCTCTAGCTTTTCTTGTAATTCATTGCATAAATGTAATAGTAATGGCTTTGGAAGATGATAAAGTTCTTTAAAGTGTATATCATTCAGTTGAAAAGTATTATCTTGAAGATGAAAACAGATATACAACATCCAATGCTAATTTTCTCTCTCTCCAATTGCTTGTGAAGTAATATCATCCTTACATTTAAAGTCACCATGCTCTTTCTACTTTTGTTACATTTCTAATGGCAGCTTGAGAATGATCAATAAGAAAAGCATAGTTATTGCACATAGCTATCGGAACCGAAAACAAAACACAAAGCTCATAATAGCATTTTCACAGTTGATTAAATGCCAATTATGTGGTTTCAATAGAAACTGGTTTTTATTGTATTTGTTAGTTTAACGATATAACTCAGAATAGGTCCCTTGGATGGATGCACTGGAAAGCTCACTACATGCAGGTTTCTTGACAAGTTTAAAACCTATTTTCTTAAGATTATAGTTGGTTACTTGTCGACTAACAACAAACCTTCATCCCATTTCTGATTGTATTGATAGGTTCTCCATACTGGTCATAGTCTTTAGTCTCTGTAATTCTGTGTTTGGTAGGATACATTTTCAACCAGCGCTGCTTTGCTTTGATCCTTGACTGGATGCTCTCTGCTTACCATTTTCAATGCTTGAAATTAGTGCAATGGAAATGCATTGTTCTTTGAATGAAAGGACAATGCATTCATTTCCTTGTCTGAAGGACCACTCAAGTTCTAAGAATCCTAATTATCCGAACTTTTTTATCACTTATTTTTTTATTCACTATATTGTCCTAGATAACTGTTCTGGACACATGCACTTGCTAGACTTTCTACAATTCAAATCTCACCCACATCATTATGCAAATCACTTTCCATTACTTTATAACATTCACTTAAAAGTGTTTAACATGTACCTTAAGCCTGTTATCGGTGTGGGTGATATGATGAATAAATATCGCAAACATTTTCAAACATTAATAGTTCTTCCTCAGGCAATATAAAAAAAGAAATGATGGAACACAGAACAAAATAGAACATAAATATTTAAATAGAATCGAATCCATGTCTCGTGTAAAATTGTTGGATTGGACCATGTGCATAAATTACAAAGAAGAACTGAATTTGTTGCATGGCAGGCCCTCATGGACACTATCTTTAATTGCTGACTACCTGCATCGAATGCCCATGTCCAATCCAACGATTTTACATGCGACATGGATTTGATTCTATTTAAATATTTGTTCTATTTTGTTTTGCGTTCTGTCGTTTTTTTTTTTTTTATATTGCCTGACGAAGAACTGTTAATGTTCGAAAATGTTTGCGATATTTATCTGTCATATCACCCACACCGGTAACAGGCTTAAGGTACATGTTAAACACTTGTAAGTGAATGTTATAAAGTAATGGATTTCATCCAGTGTTCTTTGAATGTAGAAGTTTAAAAGTGTTTACTTTGAATTTTTTGTAGACCTGTATATGTTACTGTGATAAAACAAAAAGCTTAAAAATGCTTGATTATCTGAAGATAACAATAACTGTAACTGAATTCTGATTATAATAAATGAGGTTTTTATAGTTTATTTTAACTTATACATTTTGGGATTTGATAACTCATTAAACAATTGATAATAATAATTGTGATTATTACAGTAAGTAAATTCTATAATAATTATATTACGTGTGTGTGTGTACAGTATGTATATATATATACTATTACTTATTTATGTTGTTAATAAGTAATATGTATTTGATAAATTAATTTTTTAATATCTTTAATATGCAGCAATTAAAAATCATTGTTCTAATGAAGTGTTATTCTATTTTATAGATGCTGAAGAGACGACCACCTAAAGTACCTTATGGAAGGAAAGTTCAGAATTCTCCATATTTACCAAGAATGAATCATCAAAATTATAATTACAAATTTTATTCTAATTTTCCTCAGTTTGAATATAATTATCACAATAAAAATACTTCATTGGTAAAAAGATTTGATCATCAGCCTTCTGTCCCACCACCACCACCACCACCTCCTCCTCCATTACAAAGAAAGGTAATATGTGTATTTATTTCATGTAGAATAAAATTTTTATTTTTACAACTTAAGAATTATAAATTTCCCAAACAAACTTAACGTAATTGTTTTTATAGACTAATCTAATATACAGTAAAATTTCTAATCCTCTCTTTCTTTGAATCCTCTTTTAAGTTGAACTGGATTGTTAGTCCTGGTGAACACCTTACAGTATTTGACATAGACACCCCTTGGAGTTTAATGGTTCTGCATTATGTTTGCATCTTCAGTGATATAAATTTTATACCTGTGTATAATAATAGTTTATACTATGCAGAAGCACAGTGTAATTCTAAGAAAATACTGTTGCAAGATCAAAATAAACAATACAATTTTTGTCATTTATACCTGCACACCCATAATATCTAAAACAAATTTTGGTTTTCTATTGAGTTTTTTGGGGATAAAACTGTTAAATTTAGAAATGACATGCAGAAAGCAATGATGAAAACAAGGCTATAAATGCATTGCCAAATATTTGAACAGATTGGCAAGTGTAATCTGTAATTACTTAAAAAACCCAAATGTTTATAGTCAAATAGAAAGGGCAAATTTGCTTTTGAAACTCCCAAAGAGATCAGCAAAGAATTGTCAGAATGGCTTCAAATTCTACAGAAATATGGCCTGCTTACATATTTAAAAGCCTTAGAAATTTTCAAAGCAAACATAAACATCATGTGTATCAATCACAAGGAGGAACTTTTTGTACATGCAGCTTGGCAAGCCCTTTACAAACTGGCACTGTATTTTTTCAGTTGTCATAGTGTCTCTTGCACATATCCATACCAATGCATGGCATTTTGTTTTGCTTTTGTATTCTTAATGCAGGAGCTCCAACACATTCCATTTGTTGCAAATTGGTTTGTTTTTTAACAGACATTTGAATTTTTATATTTTTTTTGTGATTGTGTTTTATCAATGAAACAGCAAGATTCACTAAAGCAGGAATTCGGAGGAGCCTGAAAACATTCACGCAGTGTATATATTACTGACACTGGACAATAGGTTTATAATGAGATTTATCTATCATCCAGTGTAGAGTGTTCTTTTTCATCTTATTAAATTTATATTTAATGTAAAACTAAATCGTTGCTCAATTGATAAATTACAATATAAATTTATATATATATGTTTTTGTTAAGTATCACCTGCAACAGACTCATTTAACAAATGTTAAAACAGAAGAATTTTTGCTCAATGACTGATGATCACAATTATAGGAAAACATTACAAATGCTTTTGTATAACAATTAAAATATAGCATTAACTTTCTCATTACTAAATTTATCAACTATTAAATTTCTGTATTCTAAGTATATAATTTGAAAAATATTTTTTGATAAAAATAGAATAGAAAAGCTACAGTTCAATCTTAACTTTATCATAGAAAAGTTATGAGAAGCATCTTCATAGATACATGCATCTTCTTTAATGAAACTTGGAACAGTAAAGAAATATCTTGAATACTTTGATGGCAAAAGAATTAAAATTATTAAATATGAAATGTAAAATAACTGAAGTTTTTTTACAAACATTATTTAGCATTTGAAATCTGTATACTGTATTTAGAACAAATGATGGAAGTAGATTTATGTAGCAGTCATGATATGATTTCTGAATAAAAATTTGTGTAGTCAAACCAATTTTTAAAATGATTATTTAACCTTTTTCAAATTTAAATCATTTTTGGGTTTTTAAATTACCCATGAATGATTATAAAACAGTAAAAAATAGCCTAGTGTTAAGTAGTTAAATTTAATAACTGTAAGAGATGACTTTAACATCTCTTCAATTGATAGCATATGTAAAAAGAATTTTGAATCAGGTAATTTAGATTCCTACTAAATAATAAACACAGTATTCAGGATAATTTAATATTAGTTTGTCTGGGATTATGAATCAAAAACTGATACTGCAAATTTGTCATTAGATATGAAGCATCTATAAGTCATTTGCAATATGAATTATATAATTTCATTAGATTTATATTATATATATTTATTAAAGTAATCTTTCTGTGAAATGTTTTCAGGTACAAATTGCTCGCAAACCTATTCGAAATTTACCTCCAAGATTTTTACGAGCTCAGAGGATATCGTCGTCATCATCATCATTGTCATCATCTCCTCCAGTTTTATCTATAGAAAATTTTACAGATGTGTGTACACCTGAATCTGAAATAGCTGCAAACAATTGGGTAGATGATGTGGCATGTTTACAATCAGTCATTTCAGAAGAAAATGGTATTAATCTATTTAAGCTAATAAAAATATATACAGGATGTTCCAAAAGCCATTTAACTAAAATATATTTTAAGATTATTTATATGCAAATGTTTTGAACAGATTTTAACAATTATTAAAATCTTAAAATATATATTTGGTGAAGTGACTTTTTGGTCCTTATATTAAATAAGGTTAAGGCTAGACTAGAAACATTATACAAAAGTCAAAGATTTATTAAATTTTGGTTAAGTATTATTTTTAGTCTTGTAAATTATATTAAGTAAAATAAATTAGTTACTCTAGAATAATTTTATTCATGACAGGTTAAATTTTTTAAAACAATCTTTTTATTACTTAATAAAGTAAAGTTGGAAATAAATCAGCTATTTCAAGCTATTGCTTAGATTCTAACTTATTGGTTAATTGTAATTGCTGATAGAAAGCTTTCATCATGCTTTTTAAAATTTAAATGAAGCTAAAGAACTAAAGTGTGAATTAGATAAAACAAATATATATACAAATATATATATATATATATATATATATATATATACTGTATTTACTTGCATATAAAATGAGGTTTTTATTCATTTTTCACTGCTTTGAAAACCTAAGTTGTCTTATACATGTGAGCAAAGGATTCTTTGCATTTTTGCAATAATTTTTGTGAATCATGTATTTGCATTTTTTACTGGATGCTCACCTCTGGTGTTTAAAAACAAAAGTATTTTTTCTGGGTCGTTTGAATCGTTCTTGTCTATTGTCAGGAGTAAAGATGAATAGCAATAGGAAAAGCAAAGCTTTTGAATTGAATTCCAAATTAAAATTCCAAAATCACATGTGAGCCCAATATAAGTTTTAATCCATTCCTATGTGAAAACAGATGATTATTCGGAAATCAGAATTTGGAGAAACTCATAAGTTAGTCGATGGAGAGTGGATTCGACTGTTAAGAATTGGCAAAAAAAATATTCTGCATGATGCTGAATGTTACTGATCATCTAGTCAAACCACTTCAGGAAGCACATGGACCACTCTCTCTTCTTCACAGAGATTGGTTGGAATGGCCACCAATCAATCTCTGTAGGCACTTACAGCTTCTTCTGGCAATTCAAAATGTTGTCCTTAGAGGCTACTTTCATTTCTGTAAAGAGAAAAAAGTTTGAAGGGACTACCATGGTGGACATACTATATGGTGGATGGGTTACCGGCTGTATTTTTGACTCATTCAGAACCTCAATGGTCTTTGTGTTTTGGCTATGTGGGTGGGTGTGTTGTCATGGTAAAGAAGACAATCTGGTAAATGGCTGCCTTCTGCAAATCTCCTCAGAAATCTTTTGTTAGGCAAACAGTGGTGTACCATTCTGCAGTAATAGTTTTTCTTTCCACCAGTGGAATGGTGCAAATATTCTAGATTTTCCAAAGATGATGGCCACAATTTGCCACCAATACTTATTTAATGCTTCACTGTCAGAGGAATTTCCTTGTTGTGAAAAATAAAATTTGGGATTGCTGCTTTGGTTTCTGGCTCATATTAATAGACAAATGTATCATTACCAGTAGTGACACCCAAAAACGTTTTGATGTTCCATTTGCAAATTTTTTAATTGTATTGACACCATTCCATATGAACCTCCTTTTGCTCCTCAGTAAGAGAATATGGCACTCAGCAATATGAATCTTTAAGTGAAGGTGTGTGAGAAAAATTTCATACACTGCTACCAATTTAATCTGCAAGATGTTTGCAATTTCCTTGTAAGTTATCTAGGAATCTTCCCAGACCATGCCCTCTACCATGCCACATTCTATTGTTTTTGGGTGTCAGTTGAGGGGCAGCCACTTTCAGCTTCATCTTTCAGGCTCATTCTGTCATACTGAAATTAAGTGAATTCCAAAAAACCTGTTTGTGATGGACAAATGTCTAGAAAAGCAGCTTGCAGACACACAAGACAATCTTAGCAGCAGTAGACCATCATAAAGTTATAACCAGGGCTGTGGAGTCGCGTAAAAATCTACTGACTCCGACTCCATCCGACTCCGACCAGGTGCGAACTTGTTACCGAAAGAGAACCGGAAATTCTGATGTCATCACGTGACCTAAGAATAAAAGATTCAATAAATAGAGTTCTAATAAAGATAGAGCGTAGAAACTTTTTATTCCAAAGCTAAAAGACTTCTTTAAGTAATATATAAATATGTATTTGATAATTTTTACTTTTCCAGCTGTTATATATAACAGAAGGAAAGTGTAGCGCTGGGTGAAAAAATGACCCCTCCCAAATTTTTACATTTTTGGACTTGGAACACCTTGAAATTTCAAGATATGCAAAAGATTTGAGGTTTTTTCTATATGTGTGGATGTTAGACAGTGTGTGGGGGTATGATTTTGTTCACCCTGTTTGAAGCCTAATCATTTCTGTGGTCAGAATTGGAATCAGATGGTTTAACACAGGAGTTAGTTATTAAGTGTCAAAGTGGTTGAACTAAATCGTGTCCCCATATATATTCTAACATCTTAGGCAAGAACATCTTAATGGGTTTTACTGTACTACTGTATTATAAAATGGCAAAAAAGCTTACTTTGAGGGTAGAGACAAGTTTTATTTTATTTTTTAAAATTTTGAACATTAATAACGAGTAAAATATTCATTAAGAGATATGACACATGACCACTTATGTGTCTTCACCCTGTCGACCTTTAATTAAGAACCAAAATTTAATAGTATTAATGCCCCTTTATACGCAAGCCATAGTGCAACATTTAGTTTCTTAAACTTTACGTAAACCATTCCGAGATATTGTTTAATATCTCAAAACAGAAAATAAAGAAATTAAACAAATTAGATGCCAACACACACAGGCGCACGAATTTTTCCCCTTTATTGACTTTTTTGAGGGGTTCAGGAGGTATACAAATGTGTAGATTTGCAAAAGAAAAAAAGACTTGGAGGGTCAAATTTGACAGGATTCCAATACTTTTCCATTTTATATACAAAACAAGTTGGTAAGTAAAAAGGAGTCGGAGTTGGCGGATTTTTTGACGACTCTGACTCCGGCTAAAACACCAAAACTCCGCGACTCCGACTCCACAGTCCTCGTTATAACATTTTATGGGTGAAGACTTCACTTTGTCGCATGCTTGGATGTTTCATCAACATTGATTTGATAATTAGTGAGATTGCAGCTGAAGTTTTCATCTCTAAAACGTGAACATTGAGCACCGCTTACAAGATAGTGGTGCTCAACATTCACATTTTAGAGAAACTTCGGCCACAATTTCGCTATTGATTATCATATAGGATCCAAGTTTCTACACATCTTTATCTCAACACCGAAGAATACTAACAAAACACTCTTCCTACATGTTACCGGTGCATTCTCCTTCTTCTGAAACTAGTAACCAACCAAAAACGTTAGTAAAGAGCTATTTTGGTTGGTTACGAGTTTTAGAAGAAGGAGAATGTACCAGTAAAAGGTTAGGAAGAGTTTTTTGTTGTATCCAAGTTCAATTGTATGTTACAATGCAATGGAAAAAACTATCTCTTTTCAGGAAATACACATTTCCAGATGGTTTTTCCCCCCTTCCTTCATTTAACTTGTATCTATTTATCTGACTTTGATATTTTCTAGGGAAATCAGTATCTGGATACTGTTGAATAATGCAATTTAGAACCATTTCCCAAATGCAGTAATGTTGATCAGTTGTTTATTATCAATTATTTCAGCTAGACAAATACTGTAATTTTGGGCATAATTTGTATTTTAAATTTAGATAACCTATAGGTCTGTATTTGTCTGATAATCTGTATTTGAAATTGGGTACAGGTTATGTAACAAAGTTGGTTATATTTCAGTTTTAAATTGCAGTTATGATTTATCAGACAGATTTTCCTGTATCTAAAGTCACTGATAGCATGTTTAGAAAACATGAAAAATTCTGTGTATTCATCCACTATACTAACACTACTGGTGTAAGAATTAATAAAATAACTATGAAATTACCAACAAACCAGCAATAATTCACTTCAAAAACGAACGTTTTCTATCGTCTTCAACGGTCATCATCAGGTTCAATTCCAAGAGTTCAAAAAATTGAACATCGAAGTTATGCGCATGTCCGATGCAGAACCTTAACAAAATTGGTTTCCTGCTTTAAAATTCTGATGTTTATATAAAAAAATGTAGAAATATATGATGCACCTCCTTTATGTCATAACATGCTCTCCACACTGTCGCCAATGAGTCCGTTTCCTTGAAATTGATGGCTGTTCCCTTTCTGAACACTTTAAAAATTTCCAGCTGTTCCAGATATTTCAGGCTGGCCTGGTGTTCACACCGTTGTATTAAACGTGCATTATCAAAGTCCACCCTGACGTCATCATCAAGCGCAAAAGAAGCCAATGCTGTAGTGGAAAGATGTTTTTGAATTGAGTATTTGTGTTCCTTGATCTTTGCTTTAAGGCTGCGTGCGGTATCACCAATATATTCACCTGGACGATTCACCTTATGATCGTAAATAGGGATAGAATATATTCCCGGAATACAATTCCTATCAAAACGGTCCTTATCATTTTGTAGACACGAGAAAATGATTGGCGATCTTCTGTAAGCGATAGTTTTACTTGCATAACGAGCGATTTGTTTGTAGATGCTATGAAGGATCCTGTTGTAAGTAATAGGAACAAAGGCTAGGTTTTCCTGGATTGTCGCATTCCTAGGTTGTTGGTGGTGCACAATAAGTTCGTTAATTAGGCGCGTAGGGTAACCATGCAGTCTAGCCACTTTCGAAATAGATTCCAATTCCATTTTCCTATCTTCCGCACTTGAACAATGGGTGAAAGCTCTTCTTATTAGGATCTTAAAAGCAGAGACCTTGTAGCCAAAAGGATCATGTGATTTGGCATGTATAAATAGCAGTGCATACGAGTTCTTAAGGAATACCTTAGTTGTTAATCGACCCTGTTGTAAGCTAATGTCAATATCGAGAAAATACACGCTGGTGGAGCTTTGCTGTTCAC